CTGCTGAACACCAGGTGTCCGAGCCACCTTATCTTGCCCTGTCCCAAGAACCGAGTGGAGCCAGCTTGACCTCAGGACTGCAAGCGGCATTGAGGGTCAGGCTGAAGGAAGGGTGTACATACAATTTTTGCTTTCAAAGGAACCAGGCAAAGAATAAGTTCTATATCAGACTACAGCAAGGGCAGACATCCAAGGGGAAAAGTTCCTAATTCAAGTTCAGCCCTGAAGACTGGGCACAGGTTGGAGACAGCAGGAAAGTTGCGGGGAGGTAGGCTGACACCCTGATAGCCATGGAGACAAAGAGCAGCTCCTTGGGACATGTCCTGCCTTGTACCAGCTGTCCCAAAGCCCTAGCTGGCTCCTCAGCACCTCCTTAAATAATCTGAGATGCTTGGTGGCCTCCATGCATTGCCACTTTTTACCCTAAGTTAGCTCAAGATAATGTCGCTTCAAAATAAAAAAAGCACTGCCCCCAAATACCGAGCCTTGGACTCTGGCAATTTAAATACCATGAATTAAATAGCTGACACCTAAGGACAAATTCAATCCCTCCTTCAGTTGCCATAAAGCCCCAGGACCTGCTTCAACACAGACAGAAGGGTGGATTACAACAGTAATAATGACTTCCACCTGGGTGATGTGGGGACCCTGCTTTCGTCTCTCTGCACAGATTTCATCCTCTGTTACGTGGAGGACACAGAGAGAAAGAAAGGTGTATGTCTATGCCTCCCCTTCCCTTCGAGAATCCACTGAAATGCCACCCACCCACACAAAGACCTCCCTCGATCATCTTCAAATACCTTCTCCCTCCTCTCAACCCTCAAAAACTTTATCTAAAACACTCCCTTTTAAATTAATTTTTATTGGAGTACAGCTGCTTTACAATGTTGTGTTAATTTCTGCAGGACAGCAAAGTGAGTCAGTCATACGTGTATATACATCCACTCCCTTTTGGATTTCCTTTCCATTTAGGTCACTGCAGAGCGCTGGGCAGAGTTCCCTGAGCGGTACAGTATGTTCTCATTGATGATCTATTTTATACAGACTCAATAGTGCATATGCGTCAATCCCAATCTCCCAATTCCTCCCACCCTTCCTCCCCCCTTGGTGTCCGCATATTTGTTCTCTACCTCTGTGTCACTATTCCAGCTTTGCAAATAAGATCACCTATACCATTTTTGCACACTTATCTTGTATTAAACGAACATGCCTGATATTCCCTACTAAAGAGGAAATTCCCTGAGGACTTGTGTTTGTTTTGCCTTTATTTGTCCACCCATAGTGCCCAGTATGACACAGATAAAGCGGGCAGTGAGTATTTGCTGAAAGAAAAAACCAAGGACTAACTGAGATCATTTGTTCCAGATGAGGAAGCTCCTTTGAAAGTATAAAATTAAAAAATTATAAAGTGTAAAGGCATGGCATATATCTAAGGTCTGGTTTCTCCCCTGCTACTTACCGAGGGATCCGGGCCTAGTCCTTTCACCTCGTTGGCATCCCACAGACAAAGCTCTGTGAACAGGGATCATAAGGAAGGTGAGGTTGCTTCCTTTGCTTTTGTGTCTAATTTCTACCACTCCTAATTTCAAAGGAATGAAACTGAAGGTTGGATACAATAAAACCCTAAGCCCCAGGTATATAAAAATAAAATTGAGAAATCGGAAATGTGTTGAGGAAACGGGGGAGATAAACTGACTGGTACCTTGGGTGAAAGTCACTGAGATTGGGCTCTAAAATTGAGTGCCAAACTTCCTGGTAGCCAAGGCAAAAAGGCAAAGTGGTAATGTTCTTAGTTCTCATTGTCATAAAAAAAGATCCTACCAGATATTGGGAAAGATAAACCCTTTCCGGGAGCTGCCTTTGGCAGGAATGACGATGTCCTTCCCTTTAAAAGGCTGATGAACAGCAGATGAATGGATAAGAAAGCTGTGGTACATATACACAATGGAATATTACTCAGGCATTAAAAAGAATACATTTGAATCTGTTCTAATGAGGTGGATGAAACTGGAACCTATTATACAGAGTGAAGTAAGTCAGAAAGAAAAACACCAATATAGTATACTAACATATATATGGAATTTAGAAAGATGGTAATGATAACCCTGTATGCGAGACAGCAAGAGAGACACAGATATATTGAACAGTCTTTTGGACTCTGTAGGAGAGGGTGAGAGCGGGATAATATGGGAGAATGGCACTGAAACATGTAAATTATCATATGTGAAACGAATCACCAGTCCAGGTTCAATGCATGATACAGGATGCTCGGGGCTGGTGCACTGGGATAACCCAGAGGGATGGGATGGGGAAGCAGGTGGGAGGGGGATTCAGGATGGGGAACACATGTACACCCATGGCGGATTCTAGTCAATGTATGGCAAAACCAATACAATGTTGTAAAGTAAAATAAATAAATAATTACAAAAATTTAAAAAAAAAAAAAAAGACTGGTGAAAAACGTTGTAGGCAACATCCTCAACTGCCCCCTCCCCAAGCCAGCAATGTTGAGGACCAGCATCTCACCCTGGGAGGCCCCGGTTCTGGGGGACCATCAGAAAGGGCTGCAGTAAAGAGCAGGCCCTCAACCGACCACCAGCCCCAAGCAGCTGCAAAATTGGCCAGTCACGTCATTATTTAATGCTGTCTGACTGGGTGTAGGAAAATGCCTGCCTGAAACAACTATTTCCCATTTGACATGAGGTTCAGCTGTCCTCTCTGACAATAAATTGCCATTGGATTAAGTTCTCTACTAAAATAGATCGTGTCCTCTGAGTGTAAAAAATAAGCTATGATAATAAACCGTGATAATCACTGTGTCAGGAGAGCATGTGCCAAATTCATTTTAAAAGTCATCAATTGCTTGCAACTTAAAGAGAAGAGTGTTGCAAAGAGACAGGTGAGAACTGGGGTGGTGGCAGGGGTTGAGGGTGCTGGGGGCAGACAGAGCTCAGGAAACAACAGCAGCCAAAAGTCAGGGCTCTTTGAATCTGGGTGACAGGTTACCTGGCCTTTCGTTGTTCTATTTGCTCCGCTTTTGTGTGTTTGAAAATACCCATATTTAAAAAGAAAACAACTTTAAAACTAAGAGTATTGCAATTTATACGGCAATATTCTGGCCATGAAAAGTGGTTTGAACCCTGTAAAGTCCTCCCTGGGTTATCCACTATTCACTCACTGCCACTGGTGCGACTCAGCTCCAGGACACCCCAAGTGCTTTCCCAAGTTCACATGCTGGCCTGGTCCCAGTCCTGGCTGAGGACACCCGGGGACCCACTGGACTCTGAGTGCTCCGAAAGGCATCGCAAACAATGAACTGTCTGTTCCCAGTCCAGTCCCAGGGCTGGTCTCCGCTCCTTCGATGGCTGCAGTAAGAAACTTTAACCCACAGTGGAGGCAGAGGAGCAGGGGGAACCCTGAGCCTCCCTGGAGTGGGAGAGGGAAGACGTGGCCTTGGCCCCAGCACCAGCGGCCCTGGGATGGGAGGAAGGAAAGAGAAGGAACAGGAATCAGAGGAGGGCAGGGATAACTCTTCTGTCCAGCCAAGGCCTCTCTGTCTGCTGGCTCCTGAGCTAGAAACTAAAGTCAAGAGGGATGATCTGCAAGGAGGAGCCCAGAGCAGAGGAGGGGTCCCCGCAGAGGGAGGGGACAGGCTGAGACCTGGAAACCAGGAGGTCCTCAGAGGTGGGTGAACTCCGTGCAGCCTCGCCTCCCAGAGCCAGATGCAGAGAGACTGGCGGGTGCGCGGCTGGCCGGAGCCTGGGGCCTCCAACGCAATCTGATGCCATCGACGCAGGGGCAAGCAGCGGGGGACAGAGAGGAGGGGAGCTCCAGGCTGACCCCTCTGCACCCCTCAGCAGCCCCCCTGCCCCAGCAGCAGCCAGCTTGCTCCTGCTACGTTTGAAGAGAGCAGAAGGGAAGTGTGCTTTGATTTCTCCTAAAACAAACACTGGGCTGAGGAAGGAGATAAGCTGCGCCCAGGCTGGTTCGGGCTCCCGGGTGTACGGGAAGTCACACTTCATATTTCCACCACGCGGGCCCCGGGGAGCCCCCCACCCGCCCCTTCTCCTCCAGGAAGGGTGGGAGGGAGGCTCTGCTGTGATCCGGGGACAGTGTCAGCCGAGGAATATTTCACTGCCAGCCGGACCCACAGGATCCAACAAGGACAGAGGGACCTTGGTGCCTGCCCCCCCTGGACCCTGGGGGCTTGGAAAAGTGACCTTGTGGGGAGGGGGACGTTTCCCTAGGAATCTGCCTGAGTCTCACACCTCCTGCAAGAGGCAGGGACCCGACCCCGCCTCCCCTCCCCACAGGCCTTGAGCACCCATCTGTGCCCCTCGAGCTCAGGGTGGCAAGACGCCCACCAGCCAGGCACTCAGGCTTCCAAGTGCTTCTCACAGGTCGTCCCACCTGGGTCCCCTCCGCGAACCTCCCAGCAGGTACTGCTATCACCTCCAGGTACAGATAAGAAGCCAAAGTCACCCGTAGTTCATGGACGACCCACCTTGAACCTGACCCTTGGCTCTGGGACCCGAGGGAGAGCTGGTTTCCCTAAGGTCCCACACTCCAAGGCGGCTCAGCTGGGCTTCCCTGTCTCCCGGAGACTGGGGTTCCACCAGCACTTGGCACTGCCTTCAGCCCTTCTCCCTCCACTGGCTCCCTGGGCTTCTTCCTGCAGCCCCTTGTCCAGCTTCTCCCAGCTCCCCATATGCACGTATGCCCATATACTCAGGGCCCCAAAGCCTATGCGTATATATGCATATACACAATCGTACCTACACACACACATATACATACAGTCTCTCTCACTGAAAGGCCAATTCCACACAACTTCTCTCAAAAGAAAGGAAGAAATAACTGCTCCCCTTTTCTAAGCAAATAAAAATTCTTTTTATTTTTCAGTCACGTGGGCCTTGATAAGCCAGTCCCTTAGGATTACATGGAGGATTCGAAAGGAGCCTATGCACGTGGGCACACGGGGAGCTGAGGGGGCAGGATGGATGCCGACCCCCTGCTCGCTGGGAGATGAAGAGCCTGGGCCTCTTAATGAGCCCAAGAGGGCGAAGCCCCAGTGCCAGATGTCCCTCCTGAACAGCGATCAAATCAGCGCAGTGCACCTGACCAAGGGCCGGTGGACAGGAGACCACAAACAGAACTGTGCTCCAAGGTTCAGGGCGAGCAAGGAACAAGAGTCTGCTGGAGGCTCTTAGAACGCCTCCTTGCCTCGTGGGGGAAGTGCCAGAAAAAGGCCAGGCTCTATCTTGTCTCTGCCATGCAGCTATAGAAAGACGCTCTTGGTGACCAGAAAGGAGGCTTGGGAGTTTGGGACCGACATGCACACAGTGCCAGGTTTAAAATAGATAACCAACAAGGACCTACTGTTTAAAAAAAAAAAATTAAATTTATAAAAATAAAGTTGAAAGAATAAAGAGAATAAAGGAAATATTGGAAAGGAAATTGGTTAGCACTCCAAGCCCTGCCCCCACGTGGGGGAGACCACAGCCTGACCAGCCATTGCAAGTGTTTCTGTCTGCTTCTACACGTGCCTGGGATGGGCCGGAACGTACATGGCTCGATCTCAACTCTCTTGAGTACTTTCCCTGAGTCTGTCCTTCGTGGGCTGCCTCCTAAATTTAATTTTCCAAGCAGATTTTACTACAAGAGAGGATGATAATAACAATAACGATGGCTACCTTATACTGAATTCTGACCGAACAGTTTATAGATGTATCCGCCTTAACACAGTCACAAGACTCCCACGCCTTGGGGTTGTTTTGTCAACAAGGCCCTTCTGCCTGTCACCGGCAGGCAGTAACCTGACCGACGCTGTTGCTCTGCATGCTTCATCCCAGCGCCTCGTTTTCAGTTATGTGTTCCACTGAGCCAGATTCAATGAGCAACCCTCTAGGGGGAGAACACACCTCTTTACCCCAAGTTGCAAGTGAAAGCGTCTCTTCTTTATTAACACAGTAATAAAGATAGCTAACATTCATTGTTCCTAGTAGGTGCCAAGCACTCTGCCTCATGTGTCATAGTCATCAGCTAACACGACTGTCTGAAAAAACCTGTTATTATTTTCCCCATTACAAAGAAAGCCCCAGAGGTTTAAAGAAGCAGTGACAAAGAGGCAAAGCCGGGATCTGAGCCTGTACTCAAACCGTGAGGCAAACAACCCCGGTCTAGGGATTTGGGATCTTTATCACTAAGCTAATCTCCAAAATCAAACATATTATAAATGAAATTTATACAATAAACAAATGGGGGAAAAGTCCCCTATAATCCACTGTTACACAGCCATATCCCCTTCATTACGATGCCCCTCTCTTTCTCACAAATTTCCACTGCTAAAGGTCTGACACATACCCTTCCAAATGCTTTTTGGTATACACACATACTGTGCTGTGTTTAGTTGATTCAGTCATGTCCGACTCTTTGCAACCCCACGGACTGTAGGCCTCCAGGCTCCTCTGTCCATGGGCTTCTCCAGCCAAGAGTACTGGAGTGGGTTGACATTTCCTCCTCCAAGGGATCTTCCAGACCCTGGGATCAAACCAGTGTGTCTTGCATCTCCTGCATTGCAGGCAGATTCTTTACCACTGAGCCACAGGGGAAGCCCAGAATTCCCTGTAGTTGGTTTCAAAAAGTTCAACACATTAACACAGAGACTCACTTCTGGCACAAAGATTATGAGTCCATATTCTTCTCTCCTCTCCTCATTTTTCTTTCTTAAAAAAAAGACAATACCATGTGATTTCAGAATGCCAGTCTCTGTTTAGAAACCAACTCACCACATCACTCAGCATGAAGCCCCAAATTTCTGGGCTGGGGCTCAAGGCCTGGATGGCATTCACCCTCACTCCACCGCTCCTCTCCCCACTGCTCCTCTGCATCAGGCCAGCTCCCTTCTCACAGAAGCCTCACCACTCCTCCCGCTGCCTCTGCTCAGGCTGATTACACAGTCTCTCCCTTCGACTGTGAGCCCCCTGGGTGCAGAAACCATGTCTCCTAGTCCATATTCCTGGATTCTAGTGAGAAAATGATAACTATGGAAAAGGGGGGAAAGGGAGAATGACCACAGGGAAGGACACAGTGCCTGCCTCCAGGGGTGAACTTCCCCTCCATCCACACTCTGCCCTCACCCATCCACCCGCTCCAGCTTTCAGATTCAGGTGTGCTGTCCACACCCGCCTCAACTCCTCCTCCTCCAGAAACTTTCTGGACTACTCAACACTATTCATTTATTTCCTAAGAATATGCACAAAAAACCCTCTGAATTGGACTCTTAAGTCTCTTGAGGGCAAGGACCATCTCTCGGGCTTCCTTCTGAGAAAGCTTTAAGCATACACTGCAATTGACAGTTATCGGACTGAACCGAAGATACTGTATGCAAATAAATATATTCTCTTCTGAGGTCGTTGAGACAGAAATTCAGCTGTTGAGAATTTCTGTGAGATCAGAGGCCCAGGAGGAACCATTCAAACCATTCTCACCATTTCTAGCCCTAAATTGTATTAACCTGTATTAATCAATGTCCATATTCTAATCTGCAAAACAGAATTAATAGTAGAACTCTATTGTTCTAATATTAGCCATCAAGGCTAATGAGGACAGATGACATGTAACATGTAAATAACTATAACATATAAACACATACAACATGCAGAGACTTAAGAGTGCCCCGATGGGATGTAGAAAATCTCCCATTATTAGCAGCAGCAGTTGTATTATTATTCCACCTTCCAAAATGTGTTCAGGTTTCTCTCCCCAAGGCCCACTGTAAAGAGAATGCAGTGATGAGAGCTACCCACTGGGCGGCAGTGCAGAGTTCAAAACAGATTTTGGTGTTGGTAAGTAGAGGGAAGAAATGGAAATATTTAATATCACTTTTCTGGTCCATGACATCCAAAACTACTTTAACAGTCAAGAAGGGCTACTTCCCAGAGGCAGTAGCAAACCTGTTGGCAGTGAGATTTTTTTTAGTGAGCCATTCTCCTTCCAGGGCTACCTGCAGATGGAAGACGAGATGGGCATGCTTTCGGTAAGAAACCTCCCCCCAAAATAGAGAAGAACATTGGCATTGCCAATGTATAAAGCCAAAAAGATACATCTTCTTTTGTTTCAGAAAAGGTAACAGGCAAAATCTTTTGAAAATCCACTTGGAGTTGAAATTTCCAATTTATGGAATTGGTGAGTCTAAAAGTTTAAAGTGAAAGTGAAGTCGCTCAGTCATATCCGACTCTTTGCGACCCCATGGACTGTAGCCTACCACGCTCCTCTGTCCATGGGATTTTCCAGGCAAGAGTACTGGAGTGGGGTGCCATTGCCTTCTCCAGAGGATCTTCCCAACCCAGGGATTGAACCCAGGTCTCCCACATTGTAGGCAGATGCTTTACCGTCTGAACCACGAGGGAAGTTTAAAAGGGACCATGAAATAAATGGTCAAGTCTAATGCATCACCTAAAAAGGAAACAGACTCTGAGAAAAAACGAGTCCCCTGCAGAAGGTCACCTGGTGGTAGGAGAGCCTAAAAAGTTTAGCTCTTCTGACTCCCAGGCCATGATTGTCCAGGCCACTGGTGTGTCTGAGTTGCTCAGTCGTGTCCAACTCTTTGTGACTCCCTGGGCTGTAGCCCACCAGGCTCCTCTGTCCATGGGATTCTCCAGGCAAGAATACTTGAGTGGGTTGCCATTCCCTTCTCCAGGGGATCTTCCCAACCTAAGGATCGAACCCAGGTCTCCTGCATTGCAGCCAGATTCTTTACCATCTGAGCCACCACCCATGCATGTATAAATAGGTGACTTTTGAAGGAATAAGAGCAAAGTGACTCAGACGTAGTGCCATGGACTCATAAAAACTAGGAGAGACTTATCCATTACACAGGTAGGTATTTATCTAATTGTCTCAAAGGCAATATGTATCAGACTTTCCCAGGATGGTGGGGAGAATATAGCCCAACCATTGGAATCTCCATTTAGATAGAGACTGGGCAACAAGGAGATTTACCCAGTATACTTTTAAGAAGGTTTTCTTGCCCAGAATAGTACATAAACCTTCTTGTCCGGAAGATCCTCATTTTTCTCAGCCTGACTCCAATCCATTTGCCAATCCAAAACAGAGTGTGTTACACATTAAAGCCACAGGAGTCTATGGGTAACATATGGAGCCATAATATCTTGTAACCCAGTAGTATTGTCCTTAGAGTTAATATAACTCTGTTAACATGTGTTTCTGCTATTCCCATCCTGAGAGATGTATATTGAAATACGTTATGCACAATGTATGGTTAATTGAAAGATACAGGGGGTATATTAAAAAATAAATCTGTTTATATGACCTATGCTGGAATACATTTGAAATACCATACAGTTGCTTTCAACTGCGTGTAGAAGAAAAGATAGTGAACAATCTCTCTATCTATTCCTCTAATTGCTCTGTCCTTTTCCTTTCAACCTCCCATGTCTCCTTGTATGGTTTTTTTTTTTTTTTTTTTTTTTGGTGCCAAGCTAACCACAGAATTTAAGATTAGAGGGAGTGGGTTGTGATTCCAGGAACTAAGGCAGTTAGTAAAAAGGTGTGGTAGGCAGTAAGGAGTGACAGGAGGAAAGAAAGCTACTGGCCATCCCATCCCTCTGAATTCTGGCAGGCCTATATTTCAGAAACTTAATCCAAAGAGGCGATCAAGCATATCCGCTTTCACAGACACAGAGCACAGATTTGCGGTTGCCAATGGGGAAGAGGGAAAGAGAGGGCTGGGCTGGGTGTCTGAGGCTGGTAGATGCAAACTATTACATTAACAATGGATGAACAACAAGGCCTTACTATAGAGCACAGGGAAACACATTCAATATCCTGTGATAAACCAGAATGGAAAAGAATATGAAAAAGAATGTATATGAATATAAGAATGTATATCGGTGTGTAACTGAATCACTTTGCCGTACAGCAGAGATTTGATACAACATTGTAAATCAACTCTGCTTCGGTTTTTAAAAAGATAAAAAAATAAAGAAGAATATCCACTTTCCTCTCCCTTTGCTCCGTGGTCATATCCATGTGTCAAAGAATGACCTAATCCTACACTTCCTTTGTAAAGCACAATGTCACTGATGGGAAAAAACTTTCATCTGCACTTTCCTCTGACACTTCTTTCATTGCAATGTTCTGTACACAGTTATCAAGACAGGCTCTATAAACCCTTAACTCTACACAT